TTCAGCAGATGGACTTTTATCTCCAAGAGTCTAAAAATTAAACCCCTTGGTATTAAACATGCTGTAAGTAATGTTAGCAACTGCTTCCTGCTCTGCGTATGATAAACAGGCTGTTGGAGACAAATGTCACTACCACAGAACCCATCGGTTTGCCTCTCTTCTGCTGGACAGTTGTTAACTGCAATAAAATTGCAAAATAGCCCAATGGCATCCTGGGATGCATTAAGGGGAGCATGGCCAGCAGGTCGAGGGAGGTTATCCTCCCCCTCTACTCTGTGCTGGTGAGGCCTCACCTGGAGTGCTGTGTCCAGTTCTGGGCTCCTCAGCTCAAGAAGCACAAGAAACTCCTGGAGAGGGTCCAGCACAGGGCCACCAAGATGATGAAGGGCCTGGAGCACCTTCCGTATGAGGAAAGGCTGAGAGAGCTGGGTCTGTTCAGCTTGGAGAAGGGGAGGCTGAGGGGGGGATCTTATCAGTGCTTATCAATATCGAAAGGATGGGGCCAGGCTCTTCTCGATGGTGTCCAGTGACAGGACTAGGGGCAATGGCCATAAACTGGAAAACAGAAGGTTCAACCTGAACATGAGGAAACCCTTCTTCCCTGTGAGGGTGACAGAGCCCTGGAACAGGCTGCCCAGAGAGGGGGTGGAGTCTCCTTCTCTGGAGACTTCCAAAAGCCACCTGGACTTGTTCCTGTGTTGATCCACTCTAGGGGATCCTGCTCTGGCAGGGGGGTTGGACTAGACAATCTCTAGAGGTCCCTTCCAACCCCTACCACTCTGTGACTCTGTGAAATGCTCCCTTTTCAGGGCCAGGAGGTAGAAAATGTACTCCTCTGTATGCCAGCTTGGCAGCTGGTTCCCACTGGCTGGTTTTCTGTGTGCTTAACATGTTCCTTCAGGTGAAGTTCTAGTCATATTTCAGCTGTAAAAATCTAAATTTCAAACACTGGTAGAATTATTTTTTGATTTTTATTGTTTGAATGAATTATAAGCATAAATGCAAGGAATGGCTAGAACACAAAATGTGGGGAAAGACCCAGAGACTTGAAGGAACTTGAAGGAACAGTCATGCCAGGTTTACTTTGTTTCAGAAACCAGCTTAGCTTATGACTTCTGTCCAGTTGGTACCCCTGAGGGTGAATGGGGAGGTTGGTTTTTTCTTGCAATGTGCATGGAGTCTTCCCAAGATGGGGGTGCTGGTGTTTTCCCAGGCAGGAGGAGATAGGAAGTATTGGCCGGGTGGGGTGGCTCATGTTCTGGTAGAACAGTTTTTATAGGCAAAGTCTGATTTATCTGTGTTGACTGAGAGCAACATGGAAGAGTTTTCAGAGTAACCTCCTCCACGGACTCAGTGTATGACTTGCCGGCTTGTGGCCGTAGAGAATATACTGGCAGATTTGAAAGCTTTATATAATGAACTTTGGGTCCTGCTGAGTTGAAAATGCAGGAGGAGCCAGGGGACATGCTGCCCACACATACTCTCTGCTTTGGAGGAGGAAGAATTTGATTTGGCACAGCAAACTGCTGGTCCCTAATCTGTATCACACATGGCCAGCGACCTTGCAAAGGCATGTCCGTGTGGAAAAAAATGAGCTATCCCTCTGTGCGTTTCTGTAGGACGAATGAGGTACTAAAGGAGATGCCCATACCGCCCTTTGCTCCAAAAAGCTGCAAAGACAGTGTGTCACCCTGGTACCAACGATCAAGGAAAGAGCAGCTCGTCCTGAAAGAGGGTGGTGGTGTCTTCACGATGGCCCTGCTCAGGGGCATGGGGATGTAGACAGGGAAGGCCTGCGTACCTCTGAGTTTTAAGAGCTGCGTTTGAAGGCACCCTTTGAGCACACGGCGTTTTGAAAACCATTCCCTCCCCTTGCAGTTGGCTGTCCTTCTAACAGCTCATATGACACTGCCAAACTAGTTGCAAAAAGTCTGCCTGCTAACCTCATAGTCTGGAAAGCTGGGGGCGTGGAGCGGCCGTCTGAAGATACGCCTTCCAAGACCCTTGGCCAGGCCAAGTTTTCTGTCCTTAGGATTGCTGTTGCCACAAGAACAGCAGATGTTTGCACAGCAGACAAACAACATCGATGGTAAAGCAAACTGACCTTTTTTGGAACAAGGTATTTGGAGCACATTCCTAGGGCAATTCTTGGTGGTGGTTTCTTTTTTTTTTTTTTCCCCCCTTTCTTGGACTGTATCTTTCTTTATAAAACTGCTTGGCTATATGTTGACATGTCTGTTGCTAGAAGTGATAAAAAAAACCCTAGAGTAGGGTTTAAAACTTTTCCACTAACACCGATACTACAAATCATTAAATCTAATCCAAACCTATTTTTGTCGGTTGTATTTTACTGAAGCAGTTCTAAAGCTGTTTATTTTTCCAGTGTCCCTATGGGAACTCTGGAAGATTCCAAAATGTAATAATTAAAGAATGACAGGCCTTTCCTTACGATATAAAGTGAGGAAGAGTGTTGTGGTTTGAACAGCTATGCTGTTGCTTGTTAACAAGATATTTTGCCTTGTACTCTAGCCAGGCCTATAATGGTCAAAAAATGTTGAAGTCGAGAACTACACGTTTGTTTTCAATCGGTTGTTTTTTGAGTTAAAAAGCTTTAATGGCTTGTTTTAATTTGTTCAGTAGTATTCATCAGTAGTATTAATATTTGAATTAAATGCAGTACTGGGCTGAGGCTGTCCCAGTAAGGCAGTACGTTTTGTTGTTACTTCCTTTTTTCTAGTGCAAGTCCTTATAAAAGATTAATTGAAAGTTTGGGGAATTTCTGTGAGCTTGAGTAACACACTCCTGTTTAAATATTAAAAGCATTTTAAATGTAATATTAAGCCTGGATTTTAATTGTATTGTTAACTACTTTGAATAAATTTATGCTAAATTTAAAGTAAAAATATCACTGAAGTGAAAATCTCAGTGTCGTATGGCTGCATCTTTACTACTTGGACCTAAACCCTAGGATTTTTTAATCGTAAGCTGATGTTCCTATAGTTATAACAAATGTAGCTGCTAGTAGAAGATTGATTCCTGGCATCTGAGGAATTTTAGAAAAGTTATCTAAGTCCAGACTTCGAGACCTCTGAGGTTTTTAAAGGTTTTAATCCATTTCATCACTAGCATTGGTGGAGGTGTGCTGTGTTGCTTCACGGGAGAAACGTAAGACGCTGCATTTTTGCATTGTTGTTTTTCAGATGTGATTGACAATGCTAATTTAAGGACTAGGATAAATAAGTTCTGTGGGTTTTTTTTAAGTATTAAAATTACAGGTAGCTTGTGTCTTGACCCTGTATAAAATTGCTGTGCTGAAATAGTAGGCAGTAGGCTTTTGGACAAGGGTTTTGTAGTGCTTTGAAAGGTGTGTGTGTTAGTATCAGAAATCCAAATGGAATGCTGCGTTATCTGTATCAGTGTTAGGATTTGGGGTTTTTAGCAGGATTGGTTCATAACTTTAGAAAGACAAAATACTGAACTGAACCCAAATTGAGTTTCTTACATGTGCCTAGATATAATCTGGATGTTTTGTAGGGTATAAGCTTGTGAAAACCAATTCCTATTTCTGTTTAGAAACTTTATTCTGAAGAAACTGTTCTGCATTGTGATGCGTCTTATAAGTCTTCACTGCAAATAAAGCTGTACTCATTCCATCAGCCTCGTTATGGCTAGATGTGGGCATGGCTGGGTCCCTGTACCATGAAAGCGTAAGCTAAGAAGGTTTCTGTGGGCCATGTGGCTACCCTGCCATGTGCCTTTCTGTTTCTTTCTTTGTCCAAGCACGTGATGGTCAGTGCCTTGTCTGTTACAAAAATACTGTCCCTGTTTTATAGATGTGAAACTGGGGGTGAAGCATCTGAAGTTGCCTTTGAGGCAGAAATTGAACTATACGTTTTCTGTGACCCATTGCAGTCCTGTGTACCCTGGGTTACACAACCTCCTTTTACAGGCAGCTTTTATGAACCCTGTTTACTGAAGCTTCTGTTTTAGTAATAGATTTCATTTGTGTAAAGTATTAAACATGGTTTTAAAACAATTATTTTTAAAAGATCCCCTTTTTCTGCTACATTATTTGAAGTTTTGGGGTTTTCTTTTTTTTTTTTTCCATCAAAGGTTGTGTTATGTGGTTTTTGAGGTAGAGTTATCAGTAACTTGTGCAGAGCATGTATTAATGAGCTGGGACTGGTTAGCTGTAGTGCTAAAGGGGGGGGGGAAGGAGCAGAACAGTCCTGATCCTGTTCCGTTGCCAAGGACACCGAGGTTACCTGGCTGGAACACAACACCTTATTTTGCTTACTGCTTTCAAAGATGATATAAAGGAGGAGAAAAGAGGGAAATCAAGCGTAACTTACGTAAATACATGTGGATTTTTTTGCACTGAATGTGTTAATGTCTTGATTATAACTGTTCTTACTTCCAGAAGCCAAGAATTGACTATTTTAGTGTCATTTATCTTGAAGTGGTCTCCAGAAATACTGTATGATACATCATGTAGGCCAATATTGCCCTTGAACTTATCAATCATTATCATTTTAATTTTTGATTGAATAAAATACTGTTTTGCTGTTTGGCAGAGAGATGAATATTGTCCAAAGTGAACTCCCCATTATGTCATCCTTTGCTTTTGTAACCAGAGTTAACAACATACAGCACAGATGCAGTGGATGCCTATGAATTCAAAAGACTAGAAAAATACAGCTAGCTTAACACTCTTTTTTCTTTAAAATAAATTAAAAAAAAAAAAGGCAAAAGCAATCTTATTTCATAAACATTTTCTCACAGCAATTTTGGCTTAGTTCTTGTCATTATTTCTGGCTTTCAACTTAATTACATTAGGGAATATAGTTATAAAAGTGAAATGGTCTGTTGTTTTCAGGGCTCTGATTACATCTATTTTATGTTACTGTTACCTTGTTGTTTGTCTTTTTGGATTTGGTGTGGTTTGGCTTTTTTTTAATTTTTTTTTTAAATTATTGATATTTTTCTTTGTTTCAGCCAAACCTTTTACATCTAAAGTGAAACAGATGCGACTACATAAAGAAGATTTTGAAATCCTGAAGGTGATTGGTCGCGGAGCCTTTGGGGAGGTATGGACGTGAAGGAGGTGGAAAAAGGGATATGACTAATGCTCTTGCAAATCTGCAGCACTGAGCAGACAGTTAATAGCAATATACAGATGTATGGGTTTTTGCATTGTTTAGGCATAATGTACACCCACCTAACTTCTGATGCAAGTACATTTTGATTTACACGTTCTTTGACAGCTCTTTTTAAGTCTACTAGATTTTGAGAAAAGGCAGGTTCACATGGATTAAAAGACCATGTTTTAACTGTCTGATGATAAATCATTTGCTTGACTGTGATTCTTTCCAGTCAGCAGGTGGAAGCCAGTGAGTTACTGATGGTATAAAGATCTCGCCATTTCTAATCATCCTAATAACTAAATATTCTGAAAGTAGTTTTCAGCAACCTAAGTAGCCAGATATTGATATTGACATTCTAAGAACACAGACAAATATTGATATTCCTCTCACTTTGTTTCCTGTTTCTAATGAATGTTTGTTTATTTTTCGTATATTGCTTTTAAAGAGTTTAGTATATGCTAGTTTCTTCTTCAGTTGTCGCCTACTGCTATTGAACTATATAATTTTTGTTGCTTCTGATTAAGCCATCTCTTATCTGAAGTTGTCAGACAAGGCTGTTGATGACTAGGTTTTACCCTACGTGATACAGATTGTGGAAATGTGAACAAATAAATGTCAGCTTTCTGCCCCTTCCTAATTATGTTAGGTGCGTGTGCTTTCTTCTTCACACAGGACACTGTGAGTGTAGAAAGAGCAACCTAATGTATAACAGTGCCTTAAGCCAAATATGCTACAGATGAGGCTAGCGTGTAAAGCATCTGCAGAAGGTACTGCATGCTGCCTGAAAATACGTGTGAACTGAAACACACAGTGTAAAAGGGAGGTTTTTCTGAGCAATGTCTTCATTGCTTTTGGAACTGGAAATGGTTGGGTTTTTTCAGTTCTGTGGCATGAGAGCATCTCTGGAGGCTCTGTGGCATGGGACTCCGATGGTTTCAGATTCACTTACATGTTTGCATCATGTGCAAATTAGCCAGTAGTCTGTGGTTATGGAAGAACAGACTTCTGTATGTCGTATGTAAGGAACAGGAATTTTTATTGTAGCGTAGGTCACTACGCTAATCTGATGCCAACGTGCAAATTACCATCATTGGGCAACTGTGTAAACAGCAATAAAATAGTAGAAGTATTGATTTAGCTACTTTATCAACTCTGGTTGGTTTTCCTCCATCTACAGTAATGCTTCTTTATAAAGGAGAATGAAGGCTGAAGTTACTCATGGATAATTTATCTTTAGTCTGAACCTCTGCCACAGCAGGCATGTTGCATTCTCCATTTTGATATAAATGTTTCTGCTTAAAACATCACCTTTTCTCAGTGCTGGCCTAGTAGCTGCAGCTGAGTTCATGTACAGATTGTATAAGATGTATGAAAAATCGCTGATGTGGATGCTTGCTTGTCAGAAGAATCGTATGTGAAACCTGCCTTACATGGTGTTTGTAAGAGAAGTCATGTTTGTCTGCTAAATCAGCATCGAACTCCACAGCAGCTGAACCACAAAAAAACCCCTGTAGTTCTTTCTCAGGAAGCTTCTTTGTGGTGAATCATCCCATGAACAGTGAGAGCGTAACTTTCCCCATCCTCTGCTAAGGACAGTCTGTAGAATTGGTTAGTTCTCCTCTTTTAGGAACAGTGGTTCTTTCTAAGTCCTTATGTGAGAAAGATGGCGTGACTCTAGTTATCGACATCTTCTGTAAGGGGAAAACAAGTTCACTCAGGGAAGATATTTGGTTTTCTGTGGTCTTACAGTAGGACTTAGGAGGTATTTGCAAGGATATACGTTAGATTTTCTTGCTATCTTAAAGAAGACAAGTGCTACGCAGACTAAGAAAACAAATTCTGTATGAAATTACTAATTTTCCTTTAAAATAACCAGTAAATGTCCAAGCAAAGTTAAAAGGACCACCAAATTTTACTGGTACTTAAGCCACCAGAAGCTATATTAATAGGAAATTGTGAAATTCTTGCATGATTCAGTAGACTACAGTAGTTTACCGAGACAGATTAAGAAATCTGGAAGAATGTATTTTCTTTCCAACAAACTATAAATGAGACCAAGGTTGCTCTAGGTTACTGGGGGGAGTAATTTTTGTCTCCTGAATCAACATAATTCTGAAATTCTGTAGGCTGCAAACTTAGTGCAAGTTTTCGTTGGCACAGTCTCAGACTTGTTCTTATTTTGATTTTACGCTACTCAATTTCTTCAATTTGCATAGTCAAGAAATATTTTCCTCTTTGTTTTTACAAGTTTGATGGAGACAAAAAGTAGCTTAAACTACTTATTCCTTATAAGTGTAAGTGTTCATTGTTGCTAGTTTTCTTTTTCCCCTTACCCTGCTCACTGCCAGTCTGCGAACACTTCCTCTGTCAAATTAACGACATGCCCCTTCCCTCTCCATGCATACCTTTAATTATTTAAAATGTTGTGTATTAAGAGTGCTGTCTCTAGAAAACACAGGTGTTTTGCTTGGAGGAGGAGGATTATCCTGTTAAAATTAATAATGTGGGCATCAGGTGTTTCATTGTGCTGGCTTTGGGCAGTGTGATTTGAAAAAAAATTAACAAACAACTCTTAAACGTGATGACTTCAAACTTGGGAGTTGAAGAGTCCTGCTAGGAAAAGTGAAGTACACTGCTAAGAGCTGTCGCGCAGTTATCTCAGCAGTATAGAGATGTGGTTTATTGAAGGTTCCAGCTAATACTGAAATTTTAGGTTGATTCTGTTATTGCTTTAAAAAAAAAAAAAAGTTCGTGCTTGCTTACGTCAGCAAATAGTGTGTTATTAGGTTGTTGATATGTTGAAGATGATGAATTTTGTAACTCTGAGAACTAGTTAGTCGCTCCTAAATTTTGGCATCTGTGTATGAACAGTAGCATTCCCTCTTCCTGTTTCTGGAGGGCTGCTTACTCTTGATGAACAGGAAAACCAAGGTGGAGTGCTGAGTTGCTCTTTTTCCTTTATTTTTATTTTTCTTTTTTTTTATTTTTCATTTCAATGTTAATAGCTTCTGGTTTAGCTTTTTTCCTGTATAAGGCTGTTGCTTTTAAGCGAAGGAAATGGGCAGACATCTACCATAGAGACAAGTAGCCAAGTTTGTGGCGGAAGGTGTCTGACAGCATGCCAGACTGTGCTGCTGTTTGTGGGAAACATGGAAAACGGTTGGAAGACTGGGGGGAAAAAAACTATCTGACTAAACCAAGATGTTTACATCGGCACATACCAATCATTTTTTTGTTGGGCTGCTCTCAGGAAAACAGAAATTTAAAAAACCCCAACCTTTAAAAGTCCAATTGTAAGAAATTCCAGTAGCAAGACACTTCAGGATAACTAGAAGGGAATGATTACCCTTTCTTCTGTCTTGACAGCTTCATTGGGGAAGGGAGAAGATCAAACCAGCACTCTGTGTAGCTGGGCCTTTGTATCCGTGACATACACCCCCATGTGTGTATGTGAGCACTGCCTGGGTCTGTAATCGCGTTTCACATTTTTGGTACAACTAGAAAGTGCACCAGACTGCTCACCGCTGAAGTGTCAGGTTTTTCTTTCACAGTCCCAAAATAAGCATTTTAGAATTGACTTTCATAAAGCACTGGGGCACCCCCAAAAAGATGCTGTGATTGCAGACAAATGATGATGACTGTGATCCTGTGTGTGCGCGTTATTGCTATGGAATAACCTTAACGGCTTTCGCGGACGGAAAGCCTGCTCTGGACTGGTGGTAAACACAGCTGGTGAATTAGTTCTGGGGTCACTTTCGGTACCACTAGGCATTCACAGAAGGTGCGAAGGCCTGCGCTCCAGCTGTTAACCGATGGCCGTGCTGCAGCTGGTTGTGTCCCGGTGAATGCTGTAGAGCAGACCGCAGCCTCGGGCAGCTGTGCGCTTCGCGTGTGTCCGTCAGAAACCAAGTCTTCTGCAGAATAACAGAGCCTCACGCTCAGCATGCTACTGGCAAGAAAGGAAATCCTGAAGCTGGACTTTGAAATACGTGTATTATCTCATGCCTCTGGCTGCCTACGCTGCAGTGGTTAATGGTGGGTAAAAAATTACTTTTCAGGCTGGACGGCAGCGGCGGTCTAGTCAGCCCTGGGACCAAGCTCTTAGGTTTTCCCAGTCGCAAAACCCTTGAAGGTGTTTAGGGCAGAATTACACTGTAGCTTCATACCACGGACTGCAGCGTGCAGGGGGGAGCCCTGTCATACAGTACAGTTCGCTGTCTACTTCCAATGTTAAAGCTTTCTCCTCCTGCCTTTTCTCATTGGAAATCGGTACAGTTGCAGCTTCTCAGAGTTTCAAGCGAGCTTTAGCTAGTAAAGTCAAAGGGGGCTGAAGATTCCAATCTGCATTGGAGGTTATGTATCACTGCAGAGGATTCGTCAATGATCATTCAGAGGATTCATCTACGATCTTTCCCTCCTAAGGAAAATGGTGATGGAGGGTTGTCTTGTACTTGTCTTGGGGTACCACACACAGAAGAGTAGACGTTCTTTACGAGTTTGAATTAGATTATAGCCTAAAGTAACAATCCATTTTTGTGTTTCAAATTATAAAGTACATTGAGGGATCCTGAGTCTGGACTCAAACATCAATTTTTATGCATGAAGTCACCTTTAAAAATTAAATGTTTAACTACGTTAAATAAGTAGATGTAGTACCTTGCTGTCTTCTCTCTTTTTTTTTTTTTTCTCTGCCCCTGTGACCCCAGAAGGCAGCCGTGTCAAGAACAGGGCTGATAATGCCTTACTGCATGTATGGGAAGTGCCAGTTGCTTTGTCAGTCTCTAGGGAAGCAAGAGGTACACTTTTAGATACGCTTTAATTTACACCTCTGAGTATTGCAATCCTTCAACCCGCGCTTTTGTCACGTTCGTGAAGCTGCTGCTGCTGCTGACACATGTGAAGGTGGCTCGTGAAGCTGCTGCTGACACATGTGAAGGTGGTTGAAAGAGGTTTGCATGACACTTTCTCCAAACTGTCTGATCCTGTATTTTCTTTTCTGCTAATGCTGTCTTCACACATAGCTGTCTTACTGGTTGTGAAAGAAGTGGAAGGAATGTAGGATTCAACCTTGGTGTTCTTTTGTCACTGGCCTGCAGGATGGAGATGGTGATATTCGGTGTGACAGCATGTTGGTTTATAAGCAGATGCACACAGCAATAAACTTTTATCTTCTCAAGACTTAAAATTTCTTTGAAAGGGAAGAGGCAGGATGGGATAGTTGGAGAATGGTTGTTAAAATGTATTGACTTTTGAACTTTTCTGTAATTGAGATAGTGTTGTAGGGGTCTGGTCTAGTTCTGATCAGCAGCTCTGAGTCTGTGGCAGATTCCTGGCCATTTTGGGTAAGATACTTTGCTTTCCATGCCCAGGGAATTCTGAACTGTGAAAACATGTTTGTATAAACTTACCTCCCTCTTTCCTAAAAATATTCCATGTTAGTTTTGTTTAGCTTTAATATTCTCAGAAAAGGACTGTGTTGGTTGGCTTTGTTAATATATTATTACATCTGCCTATGGTATCTAATGGTTCAGAAGCAATGGAGGGGGCGGGCTTGTGTTTCTTAAGTTTTGCTTCTCCAGAAAATGTGAGTTTCACTGTTTCCCTGCCACTGACGACAGACCTGATAATGGGCTTGTGGAACTTCGGGTAGAAAAAAGTGAAGTAACACCTTACTATGTCTTTGAAGAAAGTCTGGTGCATTGTTTGAAATGAGAGCGAAAGTTGGTTTGTGGCAAACCTGCAGCCAAATTTGTGTCCAAAACCAAAAAGATGTTGTCTGTTTTGTTTTGGAAACTACAACGTTGTTGTCTTTTTTTGGCAAATCCTGTAATTTAAGTTATTATGTAGGACAGGAAGGGTAAGTCCAAGAACATAAAGCATACAGCCAGTGATAGCTCCATGATAGTATGATAGAGCAAGAAGTGTGATGGTGAGAAATACCACTGTTCATCTGCAGACACCTAGAAAAAATGATACATAATGAAAGCTTAAAATAGACTTGGAACTTTGGCAGAATAAATATCCTGTACTGTTGTGATGTGACTCTTTCTTGTTATTGTGTGGATAGTTAAGCTAAGTGTCTAATACAGAAGAAAAAAACCCTCCAGAATTGCAAGGTTTCATAAAAATTAAGACAATATGCATTTTCATGTTTTAACTTATCTTTCATTTATCTTTTCCAGGTTGCAGTGGTAAAACTGAAGAATGCAGATAAGGTTTTTGCCATGAAGATACTTAATAAGTGGGAGATGCTGAAGAGAGCTGAAGTAAGATGACAGAAACATTCTCTATAATCACGCACCCCCTTGCTGTGCTGAGTTGTTACTTCTCTTTCCACAAAGCTCGTGTGTATAGAGGGGTTGAGAAGGTGCTTCACTGCTTACTGACAGTACGAAGATTAATGTTAAAATAAGCTGAAAGCAGTTTGTCAGAGGGTTAAAATGGTATGGATCTTGACTTGGCTGGGGCTGGATGTTTTAAACATTATACCTTTTATGTAATTGCCTGAGAATTACAAGCAATCTTTTAGTGCATTTATTCCGGTAAGGAATATAAGTTTTTAGCAAGTATTTTCCACAGTGAAAGGTAATTACTGGGCTGTAACTCACCAAGGCTATTAGTTTATCAGAAGTTAGAACTTAGTCAGGGTCCAATTTGACAACTGAACAATCAGAAAGATAAAAGTTTGGAATTACTTTTTACGTATGTTTTGTAAAAATGTCCATCTGCAAAAAATTTGTGATGAAAAGGTCCTCGTCAAAGCTTGAATCCATTCTGTGTTCTGGAAAAGTTGGAACAGCTCTTTCACCAGCTCTGCTTTGCTTTCATTATATGATTCCGCTCTTCATAGAATCCTAAATAGATTTCCTTGGATTTCTTTGGAAAGAAACAGAAGATGCAGTCTACACCTGAAGACTTGTCTGTTAATTTAAACAAAAAATGTCTGTCTAAATTACCTTGAAATTTTTCATCTATGCATACTAAAAATAAACTGTTTAAAAATAGCCTCATAAAAACATAACTGTGTGTCTTACACATACAAATTGCCAAATGGCCAAATTGCTTTGGCCACTGGGTTTTCTTTTCCTTGGACAGTGCAAGCACCACCTTGGAGTCTCTTCCAACTTGTCTGATTGATTTATCTCAAACATCAGTTTTTATTTGGGACTCCTCCTTTGATACCCTCAGGCTGCCTTCCTCTTCTATTGCCTCCAAGTTTATTCTGATTCTGCTGTTATGTTTTAAGTAGATCTTGTTAGGAAATGAGATCAATAGGAAACCATCGCACTTTAAAAAAAAAAAAAAAGGTATCCAGACAAATTAAAGCCAATTTCTGATGCTTTCGCATCCTGTTGCTTTTAATGAAAATGTTATCACATTAAGAGTTATAAACGGCTTGCAGATTGTGGTTAGATGTGCACAATGTGTTTCCTCTTTATCCAGAAATTACTCAGATACTGAGCAATCTGGCGTTATTCTCAATACAAAGAGGTATTTCTTTCCAAGACAGAGGTCATTACTGTAAGTTTTATTATTTCAGTGAAAGACCAGCAGTAAAGTTCCACTCTATTTTTAAATGTACCTTTTTAAAGTGAGTTTAAAAGCTATTTCTTTCCATTAAAATACAGTTATAAATAGGTTTGAAAGATTTTTCTCTATGCAAGGTATTAAAAATACTCTTCCCATGGGTCCGGCTGAATTTCTGAAAGTCTGAACCGTTAGCCTAAAAAGAATTACAGCTATGTTTTTCCATGTATTTGTAACCCATGGGTATGCAGTGGAAAGAGAACCATCTGGAGTGAAAATGCATTGCAAAGCATGACCTTCAACAACTGTAACCTGTCGTTTTTAAACGTTGATGAACGCATCTTGCTTGTTACTACCGCTAGGAAAATTGCCCCCCTTCGGCTCTGTTAGCCGTGCGCTGCACTAACAGTGACATACATGGGGAAAATCATACAGTCCAGAAATGCAAGCAGAGCATATAGGTAGGTGCATGTGTCAGTGGCAGAAATAAGTTGTTCATATATCCGTGTGTCAGCTCTGTGGGAAGTGGGCATCCTTCATACAAGCAGAAGGGGAATGCGCACTCAGTGGCTTGATGACGGCAAGCTCTGAGAGTAATTGTCTGCAAAAACTTTGTTACATTGAAATTCTGCACATTGTGAGGCCAGTGTTTTCTTTTTCATTATAAAGAGCCGAAGTTTTCCAAATACTTGCCACTGTTGAAAACTCAGAGATGCGATGTAGAACTGGGAGCACTACTGATACAAGGAGTACCTGAAAGTGTGCGACAGCTTCCTGTTACGCTCCCAAACGTGCTACCCTGAGTGTTGACAACCACTTACGTGTGTGCCAGATGAGGTTAAGAGTGACCGGGACAAGTATTGTGCAGCATGGAAGCAGTCAGCACTCCTGGAAGGTGCTAACTGTGAGCTGCAAGGGCGTGAGCCCGAGACAGCTGAGCAGCTGAGCTCTTTGCTGGTTGAAGGCCGCGATAACAGTTTAGCTATAACCGTAGCACTGAGTTGGCTTTGCTGCGATGGCGAGTTGGATCAGACCACCTCTGGAGGTCTCTGCCAACAAACAGTTCAAGGAGACTGCCTAGGGAAGATGAGGTTGAATGTTGGAATAATGAAAGACACAAACAAAGGCTTCATGTAAAAAACCTTACTTCAGCTATGTTACAGTTATTACAAGAACCACTGCTACCATCCTGATTTCTTTGGGATTTTTTTCCCTCCATGAATGAATGTAAAGCCCATGAACCACTTAGGCTCTTTCTGTCTGTTACTGTCTCAGCTCTGATCTGCTGTGGTAATAGCTGTTGCTCTCAGCTCTAGGCATACTGCCCAGAGATGGGTGTCTGGAGTGCTCAAGGAATGCATGGTCTTTTGTTAAATCATGGCAGAAAAAAGTGGAATTATATAAACTCCCTGTAGTAACTAATCCTGTGAATTGTGTCATAACAAGTAGAGTAGCTGCGTGTCACTTGTCCTTGTGAAAACAAGAGTGCATAGTATCTCTCTGAAATATGTCAAGAGTTTACAAACAAGGAAGGAAAAAAATCAAGCTGAAGCATAGGCTTTTCTTCCTTATGAAGATCGTCCTTTCTCCAGCTCAATTTTTCATTTAATAGCCTTTGAGAGTGTTTGTTTAAAGTGTGTTTTATTATTTTCTCAAATTTCACCAATTAATCTCGTGCATGGTGCTATGATTAAAATACCCCATCTTTCTTTTTCTTGGTCTGCATTATTCTTACTCACTGTATTCACCAAACCAAGACTTGGTGTGGCTTATTTGTTTAGAAGGACTGATTTTCTGCTCTGTTTTTACTGCATGTGCAGAGCTCAGTCTAAAACGGTATTTCGCTTTTCATTCTTCACTCTCCAAATCTCACAGCCAACAATAACCATGTCAGAGTTCTGGTATTTGCCTTATTGTTTTTGGAAATTAAATTGGAAAAGTGAAAAGAAAAGGCTTGATTTTCCTTTACATTTAGCTGTCTCCTAAGATGGAAGAGACAGAGCATGGCTCAACTCGATGAAACATCTTTGTGGAGTAGCACAGTGTGCTGGCAGAGATAAGGGTCTCTGTTTTTCTCTAACTCTCCATCTGCCTTCTAAATTGAGCCCGGGCAATTATTATTCTTTCTTTTACAGTATCTTTTAGAATTTTCTGAACAAAATTGTATGTTGACTCTGCTATTTGGTACCTTTTTGTTTTCTTGCGATAATTCACTTCAGACCTCAGTCCTTTCAACACGTTTGTCATATTTCTTTGCTATAGTTTCTTTTTGGCTTCTGTTAGGCTTGGTCATTTTCGTCTGTCATTCTGCAAAGCTGCTTTTGCTGAGGTATTTTATTCCCTTCTCGGGGAAGGTTGCAAGACCTCCACTGAATTAACTGCCTTGCTGCTTTCCGGTTGGTTATTGTCTTCACATTTCACCATCTTTCATGTCATACAAACCCATGTTCTCCTCCTTCTCTTAGGTTTTCCTTAGCATTTCTTAGCAGTTCTTGTTCTTCCTCTGTTCCACTTGCTATGAAGGCGCCTTTTCCTCCTGTGTTTCTTTCCAGTATATTGAGGGAAGGTCCTCCTGGATGTCTTATCAACAGCTTTTGTCTGGCAAGAGCAATATTTGGTTCTGCCCTACTTTTCCTGAGCAAAAAGTGTGGAGAACCCAACTGGCTAATGCTTATCAAATTACGACTACATGGAAGTTGTCAGCAGCTACTTTCAAAGAAAAGAGCCACCTTGCTTCTGTGAAAATTCAGGTGTAAAACTAGGCTAACAACATGATGAGATAAAGCGATGACACGATACTCCAGATTCTAGTTCTTTAACTCTCATTGCTGTTATATAATGCCATTATTGATTCAGTCTTCTCTGATTTCAATCTTTCTTCGATCTTATGTTTCTGTTCTGTCATTATTAAGACTTGATTTCGATACCTGTAGGTACAAAAAGAGACTTTGACTTGGGATTTTTAGACAATGGAAAGCAGCAGCTTATTTCTCCCTTTGCATCACCAAACAATATAGAAAAGTACAACTATTTATCTTTGAAGAAGATGGTCTTTTCTGAAACTTAGTTCTTCATAGATTTTTGGCATGTTTGATGAGTGTAGTAAATGACCTTATAACTGAGAGGCAGTTTTGCTTTTTTTCACCCAAAATACAATATTAAAACATAGTCAGCTTGGCAAAATGTATTTCTTATATATTTTCCCTAAAGCCTATAATTATTTTTCTCCCCTTTAGACAGCCTGTTTTCGAGAAGAGAGAGATGTGTTGGTGAATGGAGATAACCAGTGGATCACAACATTACATTATGCATTCCAGGATGAAAACTATCTAGTGAGTGTTGCTTTTATGTATATATGGATGGAAATGTGGATTCCTAGTTGTGGTTTGAGACAGAAATACAGCTTGTTTATTTGTTAATTTTGTGTTCTGGACTGTACAGATCGTGTGAGGATATGTGATTTTGTGCATGAGGTTCTGAAGGGTGGAGAGTGGTCAGAAACTTTTAAAGTTTTGCCATAAATATCTCAGGAATGCAGCTTTGTTTTGTAAACCACTTTGCACTGGTTGATAAACTTCGGTCTATCTGCATTTCCCTTCCTATAATTCAGCACTCCAGTTTAATTTGATTCATAAAAATAAAAGTGTGCTTACGTAGATTTTACATTTAAGTTCTCTGATTAACTTTGCTGATCGCTGTTTTACAGTTAGAAATTGGGAGTAGCCCCGTTTTGAAACAACAGTTCATTTTGATCGGTCTTCACTTTTTTGGGGACTTAAACCCACTAAGATGCCATAAAGCAATAAAATGTTCTTGCAGCGTGGAAGAATGCCACTAAATGTTCATAAGTAAGGGTTGGAAGATGTAGTTGTAGATGAAATTGTCACTTTAATATTTAATGTCATTTAGCTTTCATTTTGAAAGTCTTGCAAAAATAAGCTAACATGAGGGAAAAGTGCCAATTTTTAATGAAATCTTTCCCGCTTAAAATACGTTTTGATTGTGATACAGTTTTGGTGGTATTTATGCCTGAAAAAGTAACCAACTGCACGATGATGATTTGCTTATGTGGGTTATATTGCCCTGTGCTCTGGATTCTGTATCATTAGTAATTTCTGATATTTTGTTAAAAAACTTCTATGCAGTCATAATGTTTTTCCCCCTGGTGTGTCCAGTAAAAAAGTGCTACACATGGGATTCTTGCAGGATTACAGTGCTTTTTGCCGTTATATTGCTTTCTTTTCCGTCAGCTCAGATACTGGGAGATCTGGGGTTTGGTGGAGTTTATATAGAAACAGAGCTCTGCATTTGTGACTCTATTGGCTTAAATTCCTCCCAGCCAGCTTCAGGCTTTGTTAATGTGGACAGTAAAAATAACCTCCCATTTGATGTAATTCTTACCTTACTACTAAGAGTATTTCAAAGAAAATATAATATATTCTACAGCAGCCTGCTAGAATTTGTTTTAATCTTGCCAGTTTCCTTATTTTTACTAAGCACAGAGCAGCTTCTGTTCTTTACCTTTGATATTCTGCTAACAGGAGCTGGTTTTGCAGCCTACTGGGGAAGATATCAGTAATACTGTTTTTGTCATTTTAGTGGAATGTATCACTAGTGCTCTATGTGCTTTTTATTAAAACATAACAGAAGTGGCCTTTAGAAAAAAAAACAGCCTGCGCAGATGGAGCAGTAGATGTGGTTGAGCAGTGTATGTTGTTTACCTTGACACTGGTAATGCCCTTACTGTCTGCCATACCATCATCATGCACAAGCTGACAACGTCTGCCGTAGAGAAGCAGCTGTGAGGTGCATTGAAAATGGGCTGAACTGCTGGGCCCAGGGGGTCGTGGTCAGTGGCACAAGGTCCAGCTGGAGGCCAGTCACTGGTGTTGTACCCAGGGCTCAGCACTGGGGCCGACATCTTCGTTAACGACCCGACCAGTGGAACAGAGTGCGCCCTCGGCAAGGGAGAAGTGGCTGATACGCCAGATGGCTGTCCCGTCATTCCGCTGGACCTCGCCAGACTGGAGAACTGGGCAGAGAGAATCTCGTGAAGTTTAACAAAGGGAAATGCAACATCCTGCATCTGGGGTGGAACAAAATAACCTCAGTACATGCTGGGGCCCACCTGGCTGGAATGCAGCTCTGCTTTGGTCCCACCTTAAGACAGCAATGCACGCTGATGGCAGAAAAGGCCAAGAGTATTCTGGGCTGCAAGGAGAAGTGTTGCCAGCAGGTCAGCAGAGGTCCTTCCTCTGGTGAAGCTGCATCTGATGTATTCTGTCGAGTTCTGGCCTCCCCAGCGCAAAAGAGAGATGGAGCTACTGGAGCAAGTCCAGTCAAGGCTGGAAAGATGATTTAAGATATTGGAGCATCTTTGATATAAGGAGAGGTGGAGAGAGCTGGGATTCTTCTGCCTAGATAAGTGAAGAGTTGAGAGACTTACCATCGATGTGTATAAATACCTGATGGGAGGGAATGAAGTCCAGGGAACCAGATTCCTCTCAGTAGTGCCTGGTGACAGGACAGGAGGCAATGGACACAAACTGAAACACATGGAATTTCGTCTAAACAGAAGACTTTTACTGAGGGTGGTCAAATGCTGGAACATGGCACCTGGAGGAGTTGTGGAGTCTCCGTCCTTAGAGATACTCAAAACACAACTGGACATCAGCCTGCTCTAGCTGGCCCTACGTGAGGGGATGAGGTTGGAGTAAGTGATCTCAAGATGTCTCCTCCAACCTAAATGAGTCTGAGATTTAGAATTAAATGACCATGTTAAACTTCCACTAGTTACTAAAATTTAGTGTCCTTAAAACTGCTTTTTCTTTCTCTTGGAAGTACGGTGCTGTCATACAGTAGTGGTTTGCGAAGATAGTGTGCATTTAGAAAGTACTTTTTAAAGCTATTTAAAAAAACAAACAAAAAACCCCCACTTTTTTTAAGGACCTGGATCTCTGACATTGGATGGTATGCTATGCATTGACTGAATTGTTTTATTGAAAATTTAGCTATTACACTTTGCTTTGTTTCCTATGCGTGTGTTAAACTTCAAGTGCACAACTTGATACTGTGAGTTACAGTGTAAATGTTGGCATATTTGAGGATTTGAGGGTTTCCTTGTGATTAGACCACTGTGTTGCTCTGGCAAAATGGGAGGTGCAGAGTCCTGTCTTCTAAGAGCCAAAATGCCTTTATTTTGGTACACCCAGTTACTGAGTTTTACTGCTCTTAAAAATGCGGAAGAATGAGCGAAGAGATCCCACATCATTTTTAAGAATCTTAAGAAGCTTTTTTCAGTATATTTTCAAAGCAATATGTTAAGCTCTTGCAAATCTCACTATGTAGTGTATCAGTTCATAATAATTACATTAAGCCTGTGGAACTTTATATTTTCTAAAACTGTAAAACATGAGAGGCTAATACTGTAGATCTTGTCTCAGAAGGAGTGCAAGAGCACCACGGAATAGAAGATACTTATCTTGTGTAAGGCTTGTGAGGATAATTTAAGGTGATTACTATTCATGTCACAAAGCAACAGATGAAGTTTTGATTGTCAGCACATTTAGGATTTTGTGCAAATCTATTCTGTACTTTCTTCATGCACTTGGAATCAGTGAGGGTGCCCAGGTTATTCTGTATCAAATTGTTAAAATCGTTGTTCATCACGTTACGGGACGTATGAGGGGAGAGACGGGGATAAGACTTCTGCCTGCCCCGCATCTTCCTTATAGCTGGTATAATTATGCAGAACTTTCCCACATATTCATTTTTGTAAAGGTGGGAAAGACTTGACAAATGAGGAAAACTAATTACAAAAAGTCCCTTCAAGTTGCTTTACCAAAATTTAAAATTTACATGGGATATACACATTACTGCATCTTTAGTAGTATTTGTGGCTCATTACACACTGTTGTTAAGAGTCACAGATTCCTATGTGGATATATGTTGCCTTCCTAGAAGCAGAAATTGAAACTCTAGGCAAAAACTTTCAGATATTATGCACTTCAGTGGGAAACTATTCTAATTAGTCTGTCCACAATGATGTTTGAAAGTAATGACATAGCAGAGGGTGTTAAATTAGATGGCTTATAATTAGTTTGTTAGTTATAATTAGTTTGATTTTTTTTTTTAATCTTTTCCTCATTTGCCCTTCCAGTTGATATCTCACAGTTAAAACAAACTAAACTAAGATAAAAAGGTATTAATCGTGAATTTCCCACTTTTCTTAAGTTGGCTTTGCCCAGTCATTTTGACTATGTCTCTAAAGGAAGTGGCTTTTGTTCTGTCATAATATAGTAAAATGGAGAAAGGTACCGATCTTCTTGTCTTTGCACGTGAGTCAGTGGCAAGCAGGCTACATTTCATTTATAAATCAGAATTCAAGTGTATCTTTCCCTAATGGTTCCACTGGAGACGGTGGCAGATCCACTCTGTGTTGGCAGATCCTGTTGTGTGCAATGTCAGCTGTCTGGAATTGTGTTGTGAGCCACTCGAATTCTCTTAATCTTTGCCTTAACCTGAGTAGTTTAAAAACTTTACTTTCCAAAATTGTTTGTTTAATGGGAAAATATGATGGTAGGGAAAAAGAGAAAGGGAAGCTTGGGAAATTAGGGCCCTGAAATGAGATCCCAAGTTAACACAATTGCTTTCGTTTTTATAGGTCTGTGCTTTAATCCTTTATTCCTTTTGCCTTCTGTTGAAGGGTTTTGTTTTTTAAGGGAATCCAGAGTATCTGAGTATTTCATGTTTGGTGATGGGACAGGGGATGAAACTGAAACTATTTTGTAGTGAGGCTTACTCTATTTGGAGAGGTATAAATATGAAACATATTCAAGTAGGTTAAATATTAAAATAGGGCTGAACCAGCTACTTTTTTTCACCACACCTAGGCATCTTGGTTAGCTTTTGTAATGCCCATAGTAAATTTTGCAATAAATTAATTTCTATGCTTAAATTAATTTTCAGTCTCTGGTTCATTTAATAAATTGTTTCCCTCCTCCCTTCCCCCCCATGTTTTCTTCTCATTCCCACTCCACAGTACCTGGTTATGGATTACTATGTTGGAGGAGACCTGCTTACGTTGCTCAGCAAGTTTGAGGACAGACTACCTGAAGATATGGCGCGTTTTTATTTGGCTGAAATGGTGATAGCTATTGATTCAGTTCATCAGTTGCATTATGTTCACAGGTAAGTCATTCGAACTCCAAATCACTCTTGGAGCTATGGGGAGTTACTTGATGGAGTGAAAATAATTCCTATTGAAGAGTTGAAGCTAGTAACAAGTATTTGCTGTAAGAGTAAGCACGGTAGAATGGATCTGCCTACACGTTGTGTTTACTGAGAGCTGCTGCTAAGCTTGTGCCATAAGGTCAGAGACATGAACGATCATCTGAGTGCATGTGATGAATCTTGCACACAGGTATGTTTCAAAGTTAATGATCCATAATTTATAAAAGCAAAACTGGAAACCTGTTTGTGAAATATGATCAACTTTGCATGGGTTTATTGAAGGGTCAGATTCTGTGTCCTAATTAATTTGTTCGATCCGTACGGAGGTTGAAAACATGCCATTATGTGATCTGCTTTGGATCTTTTTTCACCATTTTCTTTTGGACTTAATCAAATTATCTTTAAATGAAATGAGGGCATTTTGCTAAATAAGTGGAAGTACTTAAATTGTGGTACTTAACTTTACTTTGTTATATAGAAAAAATAATGTATTCAAAGGAAAATATTAAGTGGTTTCTGTCTAGCTTTTTTGGAGGCCATGACTGACTTTTTTCACCCCTCCCCTAGCATCATCTTTTGGTAATGTACCATTCTCTACTGAATTCCATGGTAGATCTTGTATGTAGAGCAAAAGATTACCTTCTAAGAGACAGAATTTTCAAGTGCACTTAGTAGATGTACTTCGCTGTGACAAATCAGGAGGAAAACTCTCAGTTGTTTAAGCTGAATCATTAAGTTGGCAGAATGAGCTCGTTTGTTGCATCCATCTGTTGCCCTCACTCAGACCCAGACTGGCCATTCCTTCTGTACTGTGGTTGGTTTTGGTTTGGTACTGGGTTGCGTTTTTTTTCCTTTGAGATTTTGGCTTTTCGTGAAAGAACTGTAGCTAGGAGTGCTTTCAGGTGGGGTGGCGCTAAGCTGCAGATTCGTCTTCTGGAATATTTTGAAATCTCTGTTAAAGAACTGTGTGTACCTGCTGAAAAGAGCTCTTTATGGAAAAACCCAAGCAGAGTGTTTTCCGTAAGGAGTTTATTTCTGTTTGTTCACTTAGGACCTGATGTGAAAGGTTTTTGTATTCAGTTTAATTTGGACGTGACTTTTTAAATATGTTTGTGGGAAAACTGTTGAGATGCTGTCTCCTCTTCCCAGGTGGAGAGCACTTCATGTACTCCATAAACTGCTGTATTTTTCCCAGTCAGTCTGCCTATGTGGTAGTAACTCTTCCCAGAAGAACAGATGCCCACCATCTCTCCCTTTCCTCCAAACAGGCCACAACCATTCTCATTCAGCACTTAGTATGTAGTATGCAGCAGGCGTGACGTTTCCACCCCGTGTCCCCCAGATGAAATAGGTGTAGATGTAAAATTGTGACAGAAAATTCAGTACCATTGCAGTTCAGAACAACATACTAATTGTTATGCTTGCATGTTGTCGTGGTTTAATCCCAGCTAGAAATGAAGTACCCCATATTTATTACTGTGAATGTTTAACAAAAAGGAGCCCCTAGACATTCCCAGTCTTTGGTGTTGGATTTGTGGCTTTGCCCACGAGGTTTCCATGTTTATGGAGTTCTAAATGCCACATTGGCATTTGATCATTCATACTGCTGTGACACGATGCCTGTTCATAAGGGGATGTTTTGCCAAGGCTAAAAATGTAAAGAACGCTTGACTATATGTTAGATGATTGGCCTTTGAAACGAGACCCGTTTAAGTGTGGTGGCTACATCCTTTTTGGGAATGTGACGCACACAGGAAGGGACGTAGGAGGAGAAGGAGGAAAATACTGCTAAGAGATGGATAATGTAACTGCTGTAGTAGTGGTATTCCAGATGAATAGCCAATATGCATCAGGATTTGATCTGAGCTGTAGCTAGTGAACTGGAAATCGTGCTTTAGGCACGTTCGTTCAGGTTTTTCGGACAAGGAGATAGCAGATTGTTTTGGTTTGTTTCCTCTTAGTGCCCCAGTTCTTTCAGGATAGCTTTTTGCACGAACCATACGGAGTGTTGTACTGCGACAGTTATTTTCTTTTTCTTTGAATGCTTTTGTACCTTTTAAAAATTGTATTTGTTTTTAGTGTTGATGTGCCATTCCTCTTGCCCTTCTCCATCGTTAATCACTTTTCTGTCATCAGTTACTTTTGTTTGGGCGTGATAATGATTGCAGTGGTAGTTGGTGTGCAGACCGCTCCGGTGTCAAATGCAAGTCACTCCTCCTTCCTGAAGTACAGTGGCCAAGGTTCTCAAGCATCACATACAAGCAGCCCCAGCATTACTTACGTGAAATTGCTGCGACTGCATTTCAGGTTTTGGCGTTCCAAATATGAGTTCCATTTCTGCACTAGCATTGTGGGATTACGGGATGAATTTATAGTGGGAAGGAGATCAAAATCTAGGTAATAGTAGAATTGTGCAAAGAAATTGCATGATGTTTGCAAAGCTGTCTCCTTGGTACCTGCTGAATCAAAGAAGGAGAAAAGTTGCAGGCTGAAAATAACATCAGTGCTATTGGGTTTAGGATATTAATTTTTTTCCTGCTTTTATCCACTTTCTGGGTTAAATAAATAGGTGCCAGAATGTTTTTGAGATGACATCAATCAGAACATAAAACTTTGATAATTTTTGATTTCTGATCAATTAATTTTTGTTAAGAAATCCTGTGCTGTTTTACCTGATAGTTAAATGATGACTCAACATGTTAATAAAACGGCCTTTTCTTTAATGTGTATCTTAGCTTTTGCTGTTGTTATAAATGCACTAGCACTGGCATTCCCAAATGCTGTTGACAACTCCAAGATTAGCTTTAGAAAGAAACCCTCATCTAAGTTAAGTGTCTGTGCAGGTGTTCACAGGGAGGAAGAAAGTACATATGTCTGTCTGTTGCAACTGCACAACTTCCTTGGGAGTTGGTGTAAAGCTGATGATACCTTAAATTACTCATTTGTACTAATGAAGTGATGGTTGCTTGTAGGCCAAGGTTAAATATTGTCTTGTGCCAGTTTTCTGCAAATTGCAGTATCACACAGGGTAAGATCTTTGCATTTATTAGGAATCAACATCAATTTGTGTTTTACAGATTTCTAGCACCTTTTTTTGGTTGGAAAAAAGCCTCTGTATGCATTAGTATTTCAGTTTCAAGGTAGTGTTGTTGCTTAATTCCTCATAGCATACGTTAAAAGCTTACATTTGCATGCATTACCAAATAGCCAGGTGTGGGCTGGAGTAAAACCCTTACCGGCTTAAGCTTGGTAGAAACGCTTTATTTATGCACACTGTTACCTCAGACGTGTAAAATCTGGTTTTTCCTACAACTGAGATTGAACTCCCTTAGTTATTTCATTGGTGAGTCTGGTTTTCTCTCCATTTTATGTGAGGTGGAAAATGAGGTGTAAAACACTTGGTTTTGTCTAAATCCTTTTAAGTAAAAAAGACTATAGAAAGCCTGGTTGCCACTGGAAGGAGTTTCCCCTGAGCAGTTGGGGAGGATTCCCTTTGGGCATGTACTAGCCCTAGGCACAGGGATTTGCCGCTGCGGACTTTACACGCCCCTTCAGCGCATCTGAGCTGCTGCCTACAGAGTGAAGGGTGCATCTGAGTCTGTCCTAAATTTCATTTGGGACATTCTAGCTTCTTGAATAGTACAGCATTATAAGTGTTAATGTGCTTAAGTCATTTTCGTCTTGACGTTCTCTCCTCTGTGTATTCATTCTGTACAGGGTTGCACGGTGCGGAGCAAATTTGCAGCTAGGGAGTGTTCAGCATTTAGGCTCGTGATCCTCCAGGCCACTGCGAAAATATTCATTTAAAATAGTTTCCATATATTGGCACACACCCACATTAAACAGTCGTCTTTCTTCTATTGAATGGTAAAACAATCCTCACTTACCTTCTTACTGAGAAAATATTTTGGGAGGATTATGAAACACCTATGTTAATTATTATTTTGGTTGGTTGAGTTTATGGGAGGATAGTTAAGACTCGAGTTACCTATGTTGCAGATGCTGTCTTGTGCATGTGAAAAGCTAGGCTTGCAAGGCATACACACGCCTACTGCCATAAGGTATGTGAGATGACAGTTAGCCTGATCAGTGTGCTTCTGGATTTCTGCTTGCCACTGCCTTTTATCCTAATGGGTTTTAGCATTCTAAACCACCAGATGCCTTTCCCCCGCCCCCCCTCCCCCCCTTCTCTTACCATTTTCTTTATCAACTTCTGAAACTTAAGTTGGGCTTCACTGGAACATTTGAAATCTTAAAATGTAGATCAGCAGAATTCTCTGTGGAAGTGACATCCTTTCTGAGATATATTGAACGTAAGGGAATAAATCTGTTAGAGGGGTAAAAGAACCGTCTATTCCCTATCAAGCCAAGCCCCTGCTTTGCTTTTAGCAAGAAGGTACTATTTGTCCTCAGTAAAACTCATCTTAGGGACTTCCCTGAAATATTTACTGTAGTTAGCAGGCAGCTGAAATCTGGGATTCTTTGTAGGATGCATTTCACTTTCAACTATAAGTTTCAGTGCCAGCATATCCATTTTTGACTTGCTGAATAAGAGGTTTTCTGTCTTCTGGGTGTATCCCATCTTTCCTGATCATTAATTTGCTTAAGTGGAAAATTTGGGGGTGGAAGGCCCATCTAGGGAGTTTGCTGCGTTGCGCGGTGTGTCTGAGTTGAGCTGGCACAAAGATGAGCCAAGCGCCCCGGCCTTTGGTAAAGTGAACCGTAATTGTGGGTTTGAAAGAAAGCAACAACATATTTTAGGTGTTTACCAAACTTTGCAACAGACATCATGTGGAACGCGCACATGAAGATGGCCTTACAAAGTGCTGAGAGCAAAGGAAACGGCTAGAAAAATAAGGTAAAAATAACACGAGATTATTTTGATAGTCTGCTGCAAACGTGTTGCTTTGAAACGTTGCATGGTTTAGTTTTACATGGAAAACTGCAGGGCAGAAAGC